TACTTAGCATATCCAAACCGACTCGCGATTTAGACGCACCGTGTATGCCACTTATAGAGAATCCCTCATAAAAGTGATTTACTGTAATAATTTAGTTAATTAATAATTTTTATATTAAGAAATAATTATTATAAAAGAAATTCAATTTTGTGGCATTTTCATATTCTTTTCGGCACAATTTTTGAAGACCTTTATGCACATTTTGAAATTTTGAAATTCCATCCCTGCTTGTACCTCACACGAATCATGCATATANTAGTTAATTAATAATTTTTATATTAAGAAATAATTATTATAAAAGAAATTCAATTTTGTGGCATTTTCATATTCTTTTCGGCACAATTTTTGAAGACCTTTATGCACATTTTGAAATTTTGAAATTCCATCCCTGCTTGTACCTCACACGAATCATGCATATACACCACAATATAACCAGTAAACAACCTTCGGTGAATTTGGCGACTGCCTTCCTCGGGGATGAATATGCTAGGGATGAAATTATTGGTACACACGCCTTCCAAGCACGCAGGGTTGCTTTTAATAAGCAAAAATAATTAACTCCAAATAGTTTCAAAAAGTATAGTGTAAAACGAAATTTATTGAATAATTCCACATAAAATGGTATACATAAATGACGCATTTTCTAAACGCTTTAAATTAAACGCATTTGAGAATTGATAGAAAAGTACTACGGATTGTAAATTTTTGTTAACTATGAGGTGAATGAAAATTTTCAACCCGGCCTGATGGTTTGATTTTATTACTAAGGCGTCTAATAAATTCATGGCTTTTAGTTCTAGAAGAATAAATGTCAGTAAAGACAAGTCTTTTTTGTATAATTTCTGATTTTAATTGCTCAACTTCTTTTGAACCAGAGCAACTGTCAAAAATTTCCAGCTGCAAAAAGGTAACGAATTGGCACAGCAGAAATGTAAATTTTTCTCGCCATAATAAAACGTTTTTTCAACAACTGATTAAAAAGAGAAAATTTGGAAAGACCATACAAAAATTTTGAGATTTCTCGTTGTTAATACGAATGCCATAGTTTTTACCTAGCTCGTAGGACTACGCAAAATTTTGACAGCTTGTAAATATGTATACACATAAAGTTGTTGGCGGTAATAAGGAGTCAAAATTAAAATGGAGAAAAGAACAAAAAGCGTAGGTTAGTTGTCAGTTATAAAATAAATCCAATTTATTTGCGAATATTTGTTTATTCTTTTTATTGAAAGGCAACCAATCGGAAAAGCTTGTGTTAATTATATTGATAACAGAACCTGGCAGCTCGCACGTTGTCTAAATTCTCAAGTAACATAAAGTCCACAAAAGAATAAGTACGCCATGTATAAATTTTAACAATACACAAAAATAGAGCTTTCGCACCAGTGTTTGTTTGGTTTTTCAACACCATTTATAATTTCCTTTTAATAAAATCATGATTTGACAAATACTTAAATTTATTTATCTAATAATAATACAGCACACAACCCTGAAATCTAAGAAAAAGTCTGAGGAAGGCCATTAAATAGCAGCACACAACCCCGTGCCTTCCTCAGGAGTGAATATAACTACAACAACAACGACTACTACAACAACAACCCAAAAATGTTGGTTACTGTCTATACTGTGATATACACACGCAACACATTTCATTATCGATACGAAAAACAGTTTCGTTACCGCACAATATGTTGTGTTGTATTGACTGACGTGCGGTGATGGTGCATATACGGAATATGCGAGTAACGAGATTATTATGTGAGTAACGATTCGGTTGATGGTGTATATACGGAACATGCGAGTATCTCACAAGAATCATCGCAACCATGATACAAAAAAGAAGGTAATTTCAATAAACAACTTTTGACGGATAATAAAATTTTCTGAAGTTTGCCACTTTGATAATATTTAAACAATAAATCGGAGTATTTTCTTTCCCAAATTTATACCAATGTAATAACATTTCAAATCAAAAGCCATTATCAGTGCTTGGTACTTTTAAAGGAGACTTTATCGTAATTGTTCTTTTCATTTTGTAATTAAAACCACGCGCGCACTATTCTGTTATTTCTTGGTTTTCTTATTTTGAATGCAATCTTGCGATTTAAGAATCGAATTCTAAAGAATGTTCTTCGCAAACAAAACCTTTTTATATTTTGGTTCAAATTTACTTTTAAATTTCTCATCAGATTTTGCAAAAAATTAGACTTTGTGATTAGCACATCATCATTAAATTTCACAAATTTTTAATTTATGCAAAACACCTGAAATCGGCTTGAACAGACCGCCCTAAAGTACAAAACCGTGTATCAACTAAATGCACAACTGCGTATGTGAGGTTGCATAAATTATTTTGTAGAGAGTAAAAACACTCATATTTCAAAATGGTTCTCTTTTTTACAAAGAAATCGCATTTCAGCACGAATGGATAAAGCTTGAGCCAAGAGCTTGTGTGAGCAAAGCCAATTTTTGGCAAAAAATGTCAGTTACGCGGTTTTGCAGAACGACGATACGCGGTTTTTTACTTTAAGCGACGATATGTAAGTATATACTTTCTTCATGCGTTCTGAAACCTAGTCGTCAACTCCATTTTCGAAATCCCGTAGCCGGCATAATTTTCTAGTTCATCATATTCCACACTTTTGAATGTACTGAAAAAATCTTCTGCTTAAAAAAAATATGTCTTCTAGTGATCAGGTAGCATGAATTTGATGAAATGTCATAATTTTATTAAAAGTCAAATGGTTAACAACAACAACGAATGTCATTAAATGAAACTACCTTCTTTTTTGTATCATGATCGCAACGATTCTTGCAGAGTAAGGAAATGTTCGTTCATACATATACATAGATGTATATATATACATGTACATATATACGCAACATAGTTTTGTATCGATTCGAACAATTTGTTACAATCAAGCACTTGTACCTCACACGAATCATGCATGCATGTACGTACTTACACACGCAACACACTTTAGTATCGAAACGAAAAACAGTTTCGTTACCGCACAATATGTTGTGTTGTATTGATTCACGATGATGGTGCATATACGGAACATGTGAGTAACGAGATTATTATGTGAGCAACGATTCGGTACTTCGAGTCAGGGGTTGTACTCGTTACTCAGTAACGAATACATACGGTTTGCTACAGCTCTACTTATATTTTCTGCAACCTTATTGAGTGTTTCTTGGAAATTTTTTACATTTAAAGTAAACCGCTTGCCAATTTTTACTCCCCATCCATCGCCAATCGGATCAACGAGGTTTCTTAGGTTGGGAGAGTTCAAAACATTAAATGGAATATACGATCGCAAAAGTATTTTTTTATTCGTTTAAATTTTCATTATTTGTTTTTTTGGCGAAATTATGTGAGATGCTGGGATAGGCGAATTCATGGCATTTGATTTGTTTATTTCTATTTTGTGTAGTTTTTGCAAATGAGTTTTTGAGTTGTTTGCTCTATTGAGTTTTTAAATTTGAATCGCAATATTTGCATATAGCTCTTCCTATTTCTTTCTTATTTTCAAAATGATCCCAAATACCACATAAACGATTTTTTCGTGGGGCCATGGTTTTTATTAATAGTTTTAAATACACTGAACTAAGACTTAGTCAAAAGCAGTTCCAAGCTAAAAAGTAAGTAAGCAAAAGTAAAACAAATTACAAAATAGTTGGCTCCTCAAACTTACGCTTCACAGAAAAGCAAAAGCGAAGCTAAAGAAAATGTAAATCAGTTCGAATCATGATACAATTATTAAAGGTTTTGTAAGTAGCTTTTTTCTAAAATTTGGCACTCCCACCCACAGGGATGGTTTATGGAAGCAGGAGAAAAACGGGAAGGATTCAATCACACTTCCTAAAATGGGAGCTAAATTCCATAAAAAGGTGTGGATTTGATTTAATTATTTAATTTAAACAAGCTTATTTACATCGAATATAACCCCCGATTGTTATTAAAAATAAATATTTCTATGTATATACGAAACTTGCCTACGTGAAATGGCGCATAACTCGAGAATGGATGGTCCACTTTCAGTTTTTTTTTTTTGTTGTATTTGTTTGCCAGATGATGGATATGAAGAAGCTACCCTGCAAGAACAGTGACTATCATTTGACAAATCATTTGAGTGGCAACCCTGCAAGAACAGTGACCATCATTTGACAAATCATTTGACTGGCAAGGCTGATAGAGATTTCTGTCACTGGCTACCTACAAGTTTCTATCACATTCTAAAGGGCAGTGTGAAAAATCTGATGTAAACATTTGTGTACATATGATCTTCCGTCTTCCTCCAACTTATGGCCTTATATATTGGTCTCTTTTTAACCAACGCAAAATTTGCAAATGTGTTAGTAAGATAAATGAGAATGTGTTAGTTTCCATCACACAATTCTTGTAGGGAAGACTGATAGAAATTTCTGTCACTGGCTACCTACAAGTTTCTATCAAATTCTAAAGGGCAGTGTGAAAAATCTGATGGAAACTTTTATGTACGTGTGATGCTTCATCTCCTTCTAACATATACGTTCTGGCGTATTGCTAGACTGCTTACTCCCTTTGAGTTCGGCCTTCAAATTTTAATCATCAGTGATGTAAATCTTCGACAATTATGAGTGATCAACCTTGATAGAAATATAAGTCAGTAATGTGCAATCAAATTTAATGTAATAACCGATCAATCATGACACATCAGTAGTGCGATTCACTAACCTGTTTTAACGATATTCGCATCTTTATCTCAGCTTAACGATATTTTTAACGTTCTTGCTATTCGGTAATCCTTTTCATGAAAATATTCGCTATCGCAAAATCAGCTGTTGTCGTTAAAGATTCGAAGTTGTCGTCATCTAATTTTATGTTGTTAAGAAACAAGCAAATACAAATTGGAGTGTATTTAACAAAAAATAAGACTAATGTCAACCCCAAATAGGTAGAAAAAGTGCAAATTGTGTGGCTAATTGAGATTTGTTGAAATAGAGTGTACGGATACATGGCCCTTGAGTATTTGCTGTATGATGTTTTCAGGGACGGACCGGAGTTAAATACACACCCAGCAGATCGACGTGCACTCCGGGATGCCGACAATGCACTCGAATTGCCACCTTCGGAGTTCCGGAAACTTTACCGGTTAAGTCCCGACGTGGCCAACGACGTAGTTGCACAGCTGGATAATAATTTAAAAGGATCCAGAATAACTGCTTTATCTAGTGAAAAACAGGTAAGTCAATGTTTAGGATGTTTACAACATAATATACTTAAGAAAACTACTTTTCATTTTGGTAGGTTCTGTCTGCTTTACGCTTTTACGCTACTGGTTGTTACCAACGCCCTGTAGGAGAGCAGTGGGGCATTTCAATGAGCCACTCGTCAGTAAGCCGTTGCGTACACCGGGTGACAGATGCGATCAACAGTAATTTATTTTTCACCAAAGTAAAGTTTCCAATGACCCAGATTGAACGCCAAGCTGCAAAAGAAATATTTGCGTTAGCACCTTCTTCATTTGTTGGAGGCACTATAGGGGCAATCGATTGCACCCATGTGTCGATTTTAGGTCCCAAAAGTCATGAGGAGGCTTACGTGAACCATCATGGCTACCACTCAATAAACGTTCAAATGGTAAGCGAAGTTTTTATGAATGAAAAAAATAAATATGTGGTTATACTTGTTATGACTATATTTGCTATAGATTTGTGATCCCAATTTGAAAATTTTGAACGTGAATGCCAGGTTTCCGGGGGCACGGCACGACTCATATATTTGGAGCTCGTCTGCCATAAGAAGAGTAATGCAGCGATCTTATGAAAATGGCAATCACATGTTTTTGATCGGTAAGTTAAGTTTAATTCATCTTATAATGCAATTTTACAAAAAAATAACTGCAGGTGATTCTGGATACCCATTGGAGCCGTGGCTTATGACGCCATTACCAAACCAACCAGAGGCGACACCTAAATTTCGGTATAATGAGGCGCTCTGCAAGGCTCGCAATCCAATTGAGAGACTTTTTGGCGTTCTTAAAGGAACACGCAGCAAAGAGTGCTCCTTTATGATCCCAAATTCGCTGGTAAAGTTGTTAACGCGTGCGCAGTGTTGCACAACATGCGTTTGGGTGAGCAAACATCTGAGCTCGACAGTGTTACTCCAACAACCTCAGCTGACAATAATCCTGTCAATACAAATACACCATCTTCCGCGGCAAAAGGTGTTCAAGAACGACTAATTGCTAACTTCTTTTCCTAGAACATACGTTAAAATATGTGGAAAATTACCTACGAACAATACTCAGATGTTTATATTATCAAGTTTACAGGATTTAAACTTTGTGCGAAACTCGCGAAAATTCTACAGATTGATTTATACGGATGATGGAAAAATTTCAAAACTGTAAAAACACTAAATTGCGAATACTTCTGTGAGTGACTGTATGTACATACATACTTATGTACATGAGAGCATATATAGACTAGTTGTTCCAGAAACCCCATATATGTATGTATTTAAAACCATGTAATAAACAATGGAAGCGCGAGTTTTTAAGTCTGGACAAGTATTTTTTTATTACATTTTAATTNAAAAATAAACGCGAATTTTTAGCTGCTTGAAACTTCCACTTTATCAAGCTCCAATTTAATGGGCTATAAAACTGCATACTTAGAATTTTTCTACAAATTCTGAATAAAAAGTGTCTAATTGTAAAATTTTGTTGAATTTTTCAAATTTTTCTACAAAGTTTGAAATTTAGACTTATGGTTTTTGCTAGATAATGAGCTGCATTTTTATCAAAAAAAATATTATAAATATTAAACAAACAAAAGAAAACCGGGGAATTTTTAAGCAAAAAACAAAACCGACTTCAATTCTCATATAAAAAAAATTATATATATATATATATATATATCATGATCCAATGATCGGGTCTAAACCAGATTATTATGGGACCACCTCTAAGGTACTACCTTTCCGATGTAAAAAGAATTATCAAAATCGGTTGACGTGGTCACATTACTGTAGGTACATATGTAGTATCTTAAATATTACTTAAGGTATTATAAAACTTCAATAACACAGTAACAAAAAATTAAATTCAGGCACATACAGTATTGGACATATCTATAGCACCCCCCTTCAAAGCGATATTGTTTGCCACTTATGTTTAGTTATTTGTTTTTAAGAATTTTCAATTAAAATACAGTTCATTCTCTAACAAAACTCACATAAACTCACGTTTAAAACTCTTTAAAAGACCGCAAAAAAGCGCAACAAACTTTCCCTTAAATTTCAAACTTTCTTCTCAGAAGCTCTGGAATTATTTTGAGTACACAATTTTATAGCGCATTAAATTTTAGTCCAATAATGTGCAAGTTTCAAGTCGCTAAAGATTACCGTTGATTTTTTAGAATTTTTTTTGTCAAAAAAATTCTAGAGCTTCTGAGAAAAAAGTTTGAAATTTAAGCGAAAGTTTGTTGCGCTTTTTTGCGGTTTTTTAAAGAGTTTTAAACTTGAGTTTATGTAAGTTTTGTTAGAGAATGAACTGTATTTTAATTGAAAATTCTTAAAAACAAATAACTAAACATAATTGGCAAACAATATCGCTTTGAAGGGGGTTGCTATAGATATGTCCAATACTGTATGTATAATGTTAAGTTAAATAAAGATTTAAAAAATTCATTTAAATAAAGCTTGATAACTTCTCTAAGACTAGATGTAGATATGTTCAGTATTGGAAAAAATAATTGAAACCAAAAACGTTGAGAAGTTTTGGATATTTTTCTTTTGTTTATTTAATCTTTAATAATTTTTTATAAAAAGTTAAACTCACTAAATAACAACTAGCATATATGTAAATCAAAACTTCAAACTTTGTACAGAATTCAAAAAAAATCCAAGTTTTAAAAACTTGGTATACAGCTTTTAAACTTTGTAATAAGAGTTTACTGAAAAATTCTGAGTACAGAGTTTTGAAACCAAACATTTTCATGAAAAAGACAAGGACTTGGAATACATGTGCATAAAATCAAACATTTGTAATTTCAATTTATAAAGTACATTTTTTGTGCATAAGTATTTTGCAAAGTAAATATGTATAATAAATAGCAAGTACACTCTAAAAAGAGCATGTAACACTACTACTGAAAAGTATCTATTTTTCAACAAGAATCTGTATAAATATACGTATAGGATGTTCAGTATTTGATTTTGAACTTGAGATCTTTAAAATATACACATAAATACACATATATAGAATGTTTAAAATTGCAAAAATTTTCAAACTACAAATACATTTCCTACTAATAATAAACATTACTTTATTTTAAACATTTTATGTGTAAATTTGCTCTTGCGACAAATTCGTTATGTAAAAGTAAACAGGCAATGATTAATTTTATTACACGGCGTGCAAATTTGCACATATTAAAAGAGGAAACTGGTTACCTCTCTCAATATGCGCAAATAAACAAAATTTTTTTAGAGTGTATTTAAAGTTTTCAGTAAAATTTATAAAAGTTTCCTTAAATAAATTAAATTTAGTTTTTTAAACTACATTGAAATCTTATTTCTTTTTAAATTAACAAATGAAAATATGTGATATGAAAGAGATTACTACAGAAAGAGTATAATTTACTTTATATATATCGTCGTTTAAAGTACAAAACCGCGTATCGTCATTCTGCAAAACCGCGTAACTGACATTTGCTGCCAAAAATTGGATTTGCTCACACAAGCTCTTGGCTCAATCCTTATCCATTCGTCCTGAAATATACTAGCCAGAAATGCGATTGCTTTATAAAAAAGAGAACCATTTTGAAATATAAGTGTTTTTACTCTCTAGAAAATAATTTATGCAACGTCACATACGCGGTTTTGCATTATCTTGATACGCGGTTTTGCATTTTGTTGATACGCGGTTTTGTACTTTAAACGACGATATGTATATTAAGATCTTGCTTAAAGCATCCTTTTAAGCTAATTAAAGCAATTGCGCTTATACCTATTTTGGTGAGATCTCTTCATATGTTCATTGCTTCGTTCACAAAAAATAAAATGTTTAATTTCACGCTTAAGTAGCGATTCTTTATACGTTTAGAAAACGTAATGCTTTCTACCATCTTTAATGAAAATCGATTTTTGAACGAAAAAAACTTTATAGGAAATATAAAATTTTGGCCTATTTAAAAAAGTATCCACATTTATACCGACCGGAAAAAATAAGTATCCCGCAAAAATTCGTCTAAAAATGTATCCAATTGGATCCATTTAGATCCAAACGGCATCCCTGCTTACCATTGGTCCACAGATTTCGCTGCACCTACAATCGAATTTAGCTTTGCTGCTATCTCAGCCCACTTTTTTTCATTCTCAAGCTTCCCGTGAAGCTTTTGAAAGTTCCCGGTAGCTAGCCCCGGGTATTCCGTGAGGAAGTCCAGCAACGAACTTAATTGTTCCACTGAGGCACGGCTCCTTTTTGCAGCTGCAGCTTGACTGGTAGATGCCATTTCTGAAAATAAACAGTCCATCAGTGCAAATAATTAAAACACTTCATTAAGTACCTCTTTTTATCTTTGCATCAATCCTTAACACGGTTGGCGAGAACAAATTTATTAGTTTTTTTCCTTCCTCTTTTCGTTTGTCAGAGATGCCACTTGTTAATAAATACTAAAAGTCAGCTGTTTAGTGTCGTTAAGGATATGTTAGTGAATCAAACAAACTACAAAAAATCTAGACAAACATTGCTATTGTCGAATCGTTAAAAGATAGTGAATCTCGCACTACAGGTCTGTCATGTTTTCATATCATTGTTGATTACTCACTAGAGTGGTTCAAAAAAAGTCCATTTTTGGAAATTCACAAACGCTACCTCGAATTATCGTTATTTGGGATAAAAAAAAGAGACACGTATTTTTTTGTTTTGAAAAAAAAACTTTTTTTAGAGGTCGCGCTGGTCGTTTTTTCATTAAAAAGTAGATGCTGTAAATTTTTTTATTTTCGGGACATGTTAAAGTGCAGCTAAAAATTTTGTTTTTACGTGTAATTATTCTAGTATTATTGGAGATTATTTCCTAAATTACATGTTTGTATTGGACAATTAGATCGGGCCTGGCGCCCGAAAATATGCTTTCGAGAAGGGAATGCTATAATTAAAACGTTGATACTGACCGTTTTACGCAATACAACGAGTTAAAACTGGACACCAGGCTATTTTTTACGTCGCTGATTACGAATCTGAAATCAACTTTCCAAAATTAAAAATGGCGGATCCAATATGGCGATCACTTTTTTAAAACCTGATTAGATTCTCTCGAAACTTGGTACTCGGGAGTTTCCGGAGTTGCTGATTACGAATCTGGAATCAATTTTTCAAAATTAAAAATGGCGGATCCAATATGGCGCTCACTAAAAAAAAAAATCATTGGATTCTCTCGAAACTTGGTACCCGGGAGTTTCCAGAATTGCTGATTACGAATCTGAAATAAATTTTTCAAAATTAAAAATGGCGGATCCAATATGGCGATCACATATTTAAAAAATGATTGAATTCTCTCGAAACTTAGTACTCGTGAGTTTCCAGAGTTGCTTATTACGAACTTGACGATCAATTAAAAAAAATGGATTTGTGCAAAACACTGTACTCTGGGGTTTTTGAGGTCATTTATTAAGAATCTGCTGAGACTTAGCTATTTAGCACACTTCAGTAGGTAATAGATGTTGTATTTTAAAAGAAATAAACAAAAAAATGATTGAAAGTAATTTTTTTTTCAGTGGTAAATAAAGTTAGTAAAAGGTTTTAATATAAAACATTCTGCATAATTGTGGTTCTCTTTGCATTAGGCATATCTTGGCGGTGTTTTTCAACAACTTGCAAGAGATACTGCTTCTGATCTTCTTGATTTGTCAAAATTGCATTATAGTTTTGAATTAATGCTACTCCGCGTTCAGCTGCGTCATTTACAACTTTTAAATTGGAAAGCTTTTTTTGGTCATTTAGGTGAGCGCAATTTTCAGTCCAAAAAATTGGGTCTTCATTTAAAAAGTCTTGGCAAATTCGCATTTCTTTGAAAAATCCTTTTGTATTGCTTGTAACGAAATGATGCAATTCCTGATTTGCGATTAAATTTTTATCAGTATTTATTCTTCGTGGTGGATTTGGAGGAGCAGCATTATGTAATGATAACACCATAGCTCTTTTTTCCTCAACTGACACCGTACATTCAAAGAAGGCGA